CATTGATATATTTACATTGATATATTTCTTTTTCACTTACTAGTCTCCTCTTACTAGAACATAAACTCCATGGGGGTGAAGACTTGGTCTAACTAACTTCTGCATCCCCAGCACCTTAAACAACAGCACATGGTGGGCATTGTGTAAATATCTGTTCAATGAAATGAGAAATGCAGTAAACATTTCAATTTGTTTTTAAGAAACATTAACAATATGCGTTTTAGAATGACAAGATAAAATGTGTTCATGTCTTTTTACAGGACACTGACTTTTGTTGCAGTGTAAGATCATTATAAAATGAGTATTACATTTTAAGAAGTTTCCCAAACTTCTTAACAGATTTAAAGGAAGAGTGAAAAAATGCTTCTTTTTTTAATCGTTCAATCAAGGGTCACTATTACAGAAATATGCAACAGGCCATACACTAGTTAAAAAAAGCACCAGCCATTGTCAAAAACAATCACGAAGGAGTGAAACTCTTTTTCAAACAAGTTGACCAAAACTGGAAGACAAAAGCCCCACCAAATAAAGCAATTACATACAAGTATACAGATATACAAGATGTTTTTACAGACTTTAATAAATTATTTTGAAAGACACACGAATAGAGTATATTACATTATTGAGTTTCACTCTTAACCTCAATCTATCACCAACTAATTAAACTTTTGCTGAACTTATTATTGGCCTGATAAACTTAAGCAAAGTCTTGGTTCTCCATTAGAAGACAGAGTTTCCCACCCCTGGTTCTAAAGACAATTAAGCAATGAACTATTCCTGAAATTTAAACTTTTCTAAAATTGTAAGTCCCTTTCTTATAAATGTTCCCTGAAAGATTGAAACTGAATTGTTAGACTGTGGACAATAGATGTTTCAGAGATAAAGATAAAACATTACTTAATTAGAAAATCAGTGACGATGTTTGCAAAAATCTTTTTCAAAAAATAGTTCTACTCTAAGATATATTAACTGTATGATGTAAGTGTGACTTTAAGTAATGAAACTAATTTTCAGCTTACATCCCTTACAGTCACATCCCATACATGTTATATATATTACAATGTGACTATAGTGGAGGGTGGAAGTGTCGCTTTTAGAAAAAAGTTTCTGTGTATTAAACATCATAGAAGTTTTAGAATAGAACTTGAGAAATTCTTTGTGTATTAAATTAGGAGAACATTAAAAAATAAGTAGAACTTGACAAAGTCCTTTCACATCCATTCTTAGTAGTGAAGGGGGCAGTGGAGAGACAGCTGGATTTGAAAGTTTCTAAGATTTGGTGACCGAATATGGGGGTACTAGTAGGTGAGAGAGTACCCTGCTTTGGGTAGCAGGGTGGACTGTGGGAAATACAGAAACTAGAGGAGACAGGTCAGATTTGTGCAGGATAGAAATGAGTTCAGTTTTGACAAGTTCATTTTCTACTGCCTCTAGGAATTCATACCCAGATGGAATGAATATCTAGCAGCCAGTTGGATGGATTTGTCTGGAACTTGGGAGAAATAATTTGGATTATTTTATGTATAACCTATGTAATAACATTGCTGTATTTAATAAGGGACATAAATTAGTTACTAAGTTTTTTAAAAAGTATTTATTATTGGTGCCCATACTGAATACATAATGGCATTAAAAGACCATGAAGTTCTCAGTTAAGTGACTATCCCCAGATTTTAGAAATCAGGATTAATACTTTGAATGTATACTGCTTCCTCCATAAACCAAAGGGTTCCCTCTGTATCTATATCCCTCTATAAATGGATCCTTGTTAAGAAATCTTTCACTGAAAATCTAAAAGGTCCCTAGTTCGATCCCGGGTTTCAGCACCAAAAAAAAAGAAAAAGAAAAAAGAAAGGAAAACAATTTTCATTTCAGCTAAGCCATAACCTCCTACAGTGACTTTCATTTGTCTCTGAGCTCCACTCAGAATGTCCTATGAAAATAGGAATCATGTCCCAAATTTCTAAGTAAATCTTCCCTCCTTGAGGGTATTTTCCATTGCTCCCTGTATTAGTTTTTTATTGCTGCATAACAAATTATCCCAAAACTTAGTGGCTTAAAACAATACACATTGATTATTTCACAGATTTCATGGGCCATGAATTTGGGTCCTGTGCTTCAGAGTCTCTCATAAGGCTATAATCAAGGTGTTGGCCAGGGATGGCATTTCATCTGAAAGCTCACCTGGGGATGGATCAACTTCCAAGCTTAAACAGTAGTTGCTGGCATTTGGTATCTTGTTGGACTGAGGCTCCCAGTTCCTCGCCAGCTTTTGGCTAGAGACCACCCTCAGTTCCTTGCCAAGTGAGGCTCTCCTAATGACAGCTTGCTCTATCAACAAGCACAAGCTAAAAATACAATAGTCTGCTGGCAAGACAGATGCAAAATCTTTTGTAACCAAATTGCAGAATTAACATGTCATCAATTTTGCCTTATTCTACTGGTGAGTACAAGTCATTAAATCCAGGCCACATTCAAGGGTAGGAGATTACACAAGGGCATGAATACCAGGAAGTGAGATCACTGAGGCCATCTTAGAAGTCTGCCTACCATACTCGCTAATATTTACCAATCTACAAGGTTAGGACAAAAAGAGGAGTTAACTCCAATAAAAGCAAATTTTTCTGTATAGAGTTATGTGATGATATACATGTCTGGGTCCTTTAAAACATTGGTTTCTCAATGAAAGTAACTAAACATTAAAGGGTTTGCTTAGTGCTTCATTTAGGGCTGTGTAGTATGTACTCTAGAAGGTCAAAAAATACAAAAAATGTACAAAGATATGTAGAACAATTTTTGAAATAAATGTGCTTCTGTTTAAAGTTACTTGAAAACTCTAGGGGAGACTTTTAAAAGTGAACTTTTTAGCACGATTCTTCCGAGAGTGCCTTTTAAAATGATTCTTAAGACTTCACATTTTTTTTACAAATAGAAATTTCCCAACATCTGTCAAAGTGTAACTCTTAGACTACTTTACACTGAACTTAGAAATGTGGCACTGAAAACAAGTATTTCTTGTAGTCTGCCAAATTTCTGCCACATAGGAAAATACACAGATGACTGTTTAACACTGTGTGCCACTAGACAGGAATTATATTTCACATCTTAATGAGAAAATACTTTCTTTTAAAATTAACCTGTTGCATCAAAAAAATTAATTAGTAATTCAACCATTTTAAACTATTTTAAATGCCAGCAGTCGCAAAGAGATTTTCAAATCCACAAAGAGCAGACTCTAAAAATGAACTTTCAGAATATAATTTTCTCATTTTTTAAAACCCAATTACTAAAGTAAGAGAAATAAGCATTTATAATCCCACCACCAAAAATAGCCACTATTAAATATTTTGGTATATAGATCTAGATACAAGTATAGATCTATAGATCTACATCTAAGTTTATACTGTAGAGATATAGACATATATATGTATTTGTCTATATATACAGATATATATCTTTTTAGACATTTAAATGTGTATGTAATTTTACCGAAAATGAGATCATACTCCTTTTTATAATGGTATATGAAACTGTTATAAAACAAAGATTAACAGAGTAATTGATTTTCAATGAGGCACTGCTAAACATGTTTCTAGCAAAGTAATGTTACAAGCAGGTTAACTGAATGCTACGCAGAGCAATGGGAGAGCCCTGCATACATTGCTAAAGCTATTGTTCCCAAATGAATGACCTATAAAACAGGCAAGAAGGGCATCTGATTTGTGCTGTAGTGTTTTAGCCATGTTATTTTGATTGTTCTTTTACTTCTTTATATCCTTCCGTAGCTTTTTATTCTGTTAGTAACTCGTTCCTTAAACACTTTCTCTGGAGTCTAAATCTAAATTACTAGTTTCTGAATCACTAAATTATTATTTGTTCTCAGAACAAATCTCACTTCCAATGAACTTTTCTCTGATATCTTAACCAGCTTTGCTTCCCTCTTCCATCCAAACTAGTTGGCATGGTTATTAACTTGCTGTATGCCTCTTTTCCCTCACAACCATTTATGGCCTCATGGTTTCAATGATTAGTTATAGTCTGGAAACTATTAAACCTATCTCGTCCCACACATGTGTGAACCAAACTTATCCACTTCCTTTCAAATTTTTTGCTACCTCTCCTCATTCTCTGGTATTGTTCCTTTATCCGAGCTAACACCCAGTAGTTATCTTCAACTTCTCCCTCCCTTTATCCTATCCAGCCTCTTTCCATTAACTCATGCTTCAAAATGCCTAAATTTGTTCATTCCTTGCCTTCACCCCTAACCCAGGCCAAAACTGCCTCACAACTGGACTTAAGCAACAAAATCTTGAATGGGGTTAGGGTTCATCTGTCCCCATTCCTGTGTCCCTCTTTCTAGGCTACTCACTGTAACCATCAGTAATTTACAAGAGGACCTGAGCTTGAAATCAGGAGCCCAACGGTAAATTCTCTCTCTGCCACCTCATATGAGACCTTTCACATATTTCTTTCCTCTCTCTAGGGTGAGAGTTTCCTTATCTGCAGAGTTGGACTGTCCACATGGACTCTAAGCTTCCTGGTAACTCTAACAGTCTTCTACTCTGATGCTTCTTTGCTCAAGGACAGCAATGACAACCTTTCCAGCATGCTCCTGCCCCACAAGATCACAACTGTTGCCCACTGTTTCCCAGCTTGCACAATTACATCCAGATTGCTCGCTTTACCATATCCCTAAAGAGCCTCAGCCTTTCCACTGCAAATGTCAGTTCCTTGTTCTATTGTTCTTCTTCATTTATAAATTATTAATTTAACAAACACAGTTAATCCATAAAGCACTTTGCCAGGTCCTAGGAATAGGAAGGTAAAAGACATAATCCTTGGCCTCAAACAATTTACCATGTTATTGGGGATATGAGAAACAAACATAGTAGTATGATAAGTGCTATGCTAAAGAAGTTAATAAAGTCTAGTTGTTTGGAGGCAGAAAGCAGCATCACTTAACAAGACTGAGTACATACAAAGACTTCAGAAAGGGTGTGCTAATTCCAAGCTGAGTCTTTTAAACTTAAAAGGGAAACTAAGAATTAAGGAGGAAAGAAAGTGTATCCTATTGCTATCCTGAGGTTCCGAGAGAGCAAAATTTATTAGAACAGGGCATACTGGGCCAAGAGCCAGATTGGAATACTGGAGTATAGAGCCCAAGAAGCAAACAGTGAGGCTGGTCATGATGAACGAAATGTCGCCCTAAGGAGTCTGGATTTTAGCTGAGGAAAGGACGAAGTATGGGCTATACTTTATTTAGACAATCTGTTTCCTGGTCTGTTATTGGAGAAAGGTGGTTGGTTTGGGGGGCACTGAAACGTTCAAAACTGATTGCAAGGTAAATCCAGCAGGGGGAAATGGTGGCCTGCCAAAAGTTCTGGCCACTGGTTGGTCCACTAAAACGCCGATGTGGGAGACTTCATCAAGCTAACCGCCTTCACCCAGACCCCGAGTATGTAGTACCACCAACCTCTGGCCCCGGCGTCACAGAGAGCAAGACGCCGGGGACGGCACAGAGGAGGGCGCTGCCTGAGAGCTCGCGAGATTTCTCGTGAGCCCGGCCAGACCAGGAGCGTCTGGTCGCTGGGCAACCGCGGCAGCGCGGCTGAAGAACCTAGCACAGGCGAAATTTACCAAACCTGAGTTACTGATCTGGCTCATCTCACAAGGTGAGGTGCCTTCAGGGAAGATGTGTGGGGACCGAGGAAACCCTAGAGCCAGGCTTCTCAAACTTGCCTGCCAGTAAGACTTCCTGGGGCACTTGCCAAAATGCAAATCCCTGAGCCTTATCTCTAGACATCCAGAATTTCTAGAAAAACAGTCTAGACGTCTGTATTTTAAACAAATGGCTAAAATAAGGCAAGGTTGGGAAACGGCCCTAGAGAGAGACGCGGGTGGAAGGGTGGCCGCGCAGCTGAGGGAGCGGGATCTGAGGGCGCAGATCTGTGTGAAAAGGGGAAAGTCAGCGCATCGGCGATTTAGAGCATCTGGAAGCCACTGAGCCCGGGGCTAGCCAAGGGAGATACACCAACTGAATTCGGAGACGTTCACCGCCTCTAGCCAGTAGGAGCCCCAGGGGGTGAGAGCCAAGGGGTCCACCAGCATGGATCCCCAGAGCGCCTGTGAAGCAGCTCTAAGCTGTTCTCCACTGGCGATCTGGAGAGAGAGAGCTATCCCGCCAAGTGGAGCCTAGAAATAACATATATCTAGTAGGGGAAAATTATCAAAAAGCGGTTTCTTAAACTTTACGAAATAATGAACCTCTTTTAAAAGAATATCAGGGACACCCCACAATGTTAACATTATTAATTTTATGAAAATGTTCTAAAATGTATCTAAATCCAAACTAGGTTCAGTTTAAACTTCTGAAGCTTATAATTTCTCTAAAACGAACTACAGTACCAATGAAGTTTAAATTAATATTACCTTAACAAGATAAATGGTGGTGTTCTGATGAAACTAAATCCTCTTTTGTGGATTTGATTGCTACGATGCAGGTTCTTTTAACAGTCTTTATTATTGTGTTATGGGTTGGTTCAACGTTCTCCCTTTCCAGATTCAAGCCCCCAGAAAGTTTTCCTTTGGGCTTGCTGCCAAGATCCACTGGCCTGCCATTGGTTTTAAAAAATACATCATTTATATATTATGTTTGCCTCTTTCCTCTTCTAATTATCTGAGAGAATGAAATTCATTTACCTAGAAACACCAATTTGTGCACTGGAACCTAGAGACAAAATCCATTTACAGCATGGTCACTCTCGAGGATTCAGATGATCCAAAATTTCTGTTTTACCCTAGGGTAGAAATCAGAGCCTAAAGCAAAAATTCATGTGATAACACCTTGGGG